TCGGTTCACACCCCATCACAAGCAAGCAAAACACCCACGAAACAAAGAAAGGTCTGTCACAGCCAAAAAATACAATCCAGACATGCCGCTGGCACTAGAGGCACAGCATGGCCGCATAGTGACGGCCCCGACCACTGCCTATATATATATAGCCTCCTGATGAGTCGGTGAAACTCCGACGAAACAGTTTGTCACAGCCCCTCGTTTGTTGTCCTCTTCTCTCTCTCTGCCTACGGTTTACCGGGCAGTTCTGTTTGTGATGATATATATATATATATATATATATATATTGTCGCATAACTATGAACTAAAAGAGCGCACTTTGTGAAACAAAGGATCTCCTTTTCCTTCCTTCCTTCCCCACTTCCCCCCCTTCCCCCTTCTTCCCTCCCGCCCTCTTTCCTCCCCTCCTTCCCTCCCCTCCTCCCTCCTCCCCTTTTTACCAGCAAAAAGCAGCAATACTGAACCCCAAACAATGGAACCAACGACAGCCAGCAGGGAGAAGTCACACAGAAGGTGCAGCCCAGCAGTGAAGCACCAAGACTGGCAGGAACGCCAACAGCAGGCAACAGAAGCAATGTCATTAAGTAGAATCAACCGTGAGAGCAGTAGCAGCAGATACAAGAGGATGGCCAACTTTTATCAGCTGGGGCTTCTTGTAGGCCCTCTAGCAGCAGCAGCAGCCACAGCAGTGGTAGTAAAAGTTGCTGGCAAGAGGAAGGAACAGAGGAGGAGGGGGAGGAGGGGGAGGAGGGGGAGGAGGGGAGGAGGGGAGGAGGATGTGGAACAGGAGAAGCAGCTTCCAATCAGTTCAGCAGGCGTAGAATGGAAGAGGAGAAGAGGGAGGAGCAGAAGCAGACAATGCTTCGCCTTCCCTCCTCTCCGCTCCCATGCAAGCAATCCACCCCTAACCGTGAGACCAGCAATTGGATGCTATTATTGCTTATCCATCCTCGTGTCCCCGCGCCCCTTTTTTGCCAACCTCTTTGTTTTCTCACTTTGGCTCATATCTGTTGTGAGTCTTGTGACAGCAAACTCCTCTGATATCCCTCCTCTCCTCCGCTGTTTCTCAGGAGGGTACACCAAGATTCTACGTTTGAATGTCTGTATTGATGTCTGGAGCTCGTCCCCCCATCCCATCAACCTTTGTGCAATCATCAGTTTGTCAATTATGCATGACGGTTCTCCCTTAGTTGTGCCCGTGCTTCCATTTGATATGATTGTTCTTGAAGACAGACCACTATATTCACCTGTAAGGACAATCTTCCGTCTCTTGAAAAACAGCGCCAACCCGCACCAAGCTGGTTTCCCTTGTTCTCTTGAAATCATCTGGGCCGGCGGCTGCATAGAAATCTAGTTCGTTTTCTCCTGCCTATTACCTCCTTCCTCCGAATAGAATGTATGGTGAAAAGGTTGGGCCAAAAAGGGAAAAACAGGAGCGCAGGGGGGAGAGGAAAATGAAGCCAGGTCGTCATACTGGGCCCA